AACGTGAGCTGTGGTGGTGTCACCTACCTCATCTGATAGGGCAGGAGTGAACTGGCTGGCCAGCTTCCTGTTGGACTCTAATAGTTACCTACCTCTTCTCTTGCGAGTGGCAGTGCCTGTTTCAAGGCAGATCTAAATTTCTGAATCAATGTAATATCACAGACACTTATGTTGATGTCTTGACCTTTGTCCTTCTTGACCCTGGTGCTGATTTTGTGATCTGCAGGTGGCAAAGAGACACAGGGCACCAGCTGGTGATAGATCTTGGCCTTGGTGTTCACTTTTGTGTTGAGGGCTTAAGTGGAAATCTTGGTATCTTACCTCTAGCTAGCAATCCTGCATCTTAAAGCAACACCATGCCCTTTGGAAAGTGATTTAAGGCTGTCTTTCAGTGGGTGGGCATTTGGGGCAGCAGTTAAGTTGCTGTTAGGGATGCTCATATACCATATCCAAGTACCTGGTTCCAACTTCTTCTTCTGATCCAGCTTCCTGCTGATGCACAACCTGGGTTGTAGCAGGGGCTGGGCCCCTGCCATACACATAGGAGACCCGGATTGACTTTTGGGTTCCTGGCTTTGGCCTGACCCGGTCCTTGCTGTTGTAGGTATTTAGGGAGGGAACCAGTGCATAGAAGAACTCTGTCTCTCTATCTTTTTCTCTTTCATATAAAATGAACATAAATAAAAATAAAATATAAAAATACCCTCTTCCTTGAGTCTCACTATCACTATGTAATCTTTTTCTTTTACAAAGGACAGTCTGTTTCAATATTTTTAAAAAGAGGTAGGTGGTAGGCAAGGTAATTATTAGTTACTCTGTGTAGGATGACTTCACGGTGTACCTTTTGTTCAGTCTTCTGTTTGTCCCTCGTGTCCTCGGTAACTGTCTGAGGTAAGGTGGCTTTGGTGATTTGGTGTCTGTTCGCACCAAGTCCTGCATGTCTCTCTAATGTCAGAGGAGGCTCCCCCTCTGGTTAGGGCTGTGTGTGCCTGCCGTACACGCTCTCTCTGCGGCGTCGCTCATGCCTGTCTGCACTCATCTTCTGTTATGGTCACAGTTTCCCTGCTGAGCATTTCTTCCCGGAGTCCTATGACTTGTAAGATCCGTCTCAGCAACTTCCTATTTTCTGGATTCCTGCTTTTTGCATGATTCTTCTATAAGCTGAAGACAGATTATCATGTGATCTTAGTCACTGAATCGCTCATTAAATCAAGAGTTTAAAATATCCAACACTTATATCAACTGTGCCCTACCTACCTCCTCCCCTTCTTTTCTCATTCCCGATGGTCCTTCTGATTTTTTTTGAGGTTCATAGTCTATTATCTGTAAATAGTAGTTGTTCAGTAAATGATTCACAGATTTAGTGGTTATGATGTAGTAATTGATGACATAATGTAGTAATTGATGAGTTAATAGTAATGAATAAATAGGCCGGTGCCACAGCTCACTAGGTTAATCCTCCGCCTGTGGCGCCGGCACCCCGGGTTCTAGTCCCGGTCGGGGTGCCAGATTCTGTCCTGGTTGCTCCTCTTCCAGTCCAACTCTCTGCTGTGGCCCAGGAAGGCAGTGGAGGCTGGCCCAAGTGCTTGGGCCCTGCACCTGCATGGGAGACCAGGAGGAAGCACCTGGCTCCTGGCTTCGGATCAGCGCAATGTGCTAGCTGTAGCAGCCATTTAGGGGGTGAACCAACGGAAGGAAGACCTTTCTCTTTGTCTCCCTCACTGTCTAACTCTGCCTGTCAAAATAAATAAATAAATAAAATAAGTCACTTCTATCTTATTTCAGAAAGGCATGCTAATTTTATGAGGGTGCAACAGGGTACAGATTGAGCAGAATTTAAGGGTTCCTTTCTAAGAGGTTCACTGCACGTGTCTGCAGGTGTGCTGTGGGAATTGTGACCTATCTGAAGGTAGGTAACAGCAAATACTGTTCTTTTTTTTTTTTTTTTTGACAGGCAGAGTGGACAGTGAGAGAGAGAGACAGAGAGAAAGGTCTTCCTTTGCCGTTGGTTCACCCTCCAATGGCCGCCGCAGTCGGCGTGGTCGGCACGCTGCTGATCCGAAGGCAGGAGCCAGGTACTTATCCTGGTCTCCCATGGGGTGCAGGGCCCAAGGACTTGGGCCATCCTCCACTGCACTCCCTGGCCACAGCAGAGAGCTGGCCTGGAAGAGGGGCAACCGGGACAGAATCTGGCGCCTCAACCGGGACTAGAACCCGGTGTGCCGGCGCCGCAAGGTGGAGGATTAGCCTGTTGAGCCACGGCGCTGGCCAGCAAATACTGTTCTTTAAGATCATTTATCTTACTACAAAATGTTAGCATAGGGAGCCTGTGTATATGTGTGTGTTTCCTTTTCTTTCTTTGTCTTTTTTTTTTTTTTAAGATTTATTTATTTCTTTGAAAGTCAGAGTTACACAGAGAGAGAAGGAAAGGCAAAGAAAGAGAGAGGGCTTCCATCCACTGTTTACTCCCCAAATGACCACAGTGGCCAGAGCTGTGCTGATCTGAAGCCAGGAGCTTCCGCTGGGTCTTCCCACATGGGTACAGGGGCCCAAAGACTTGGGCCTTCTTCTGCTTTCCCAGGCCATAGCAGAGAGCTGGATTGGAAGTGAAGCAGCTGAGACTGGAACCCTTGCCCATTTGGGATGCCGGCACTGCAGGTGGTAACTTTACCCACTGTGCCACAGTGCCAATTCCTCCTTTTCTTTTTAAAATAGGGCATAAGGACTAGAAGAGAAAGGGAAGGCTAGGCAATGGCTGGAGTCCATTTGGGTCTCCCATCTGGGTGGCCAGACCCAAATACACGGAGCCATCTCCCACTGCTTTCCCAGGCTCGTTATCAGGGAGCTGGGCTGGAAGTGGAGCAGCTGGGACACAATGGGTGCTCACACGGGATGCTGTGGTGGTTTAACCTGCTGGAGTCCTGAATACTTTGAGAACCTTTCCCAATGCAGACTTTGTGACCATGCTGAATGGCTTTGTTTTAAGAATTTATTTATTTTCATTTCTTTAAAAAAGATCTATACATTTATTGGAAAGGCAGAGTTACAGAGAAAGAGGGAGGGACATAGATTATAAAAAACACAATCAAAATTGTTGGTAGAACCACCATCATTACGTATGTAATGTAACTTAGTACAAAGTTAAGTCACCTTTACTTTCCCAACCACCTGCAGTAGCCAGACACACCCCATGACCTTCTGGCATGTATTTTCTAAGTCTTCCCCTCTAATCCAGGGAGCCCACGTGTGCCTTCACAAGTTAGGTGTAATAAGTAAAGCTTACGTCCTCATTCTTGCCAGTGGCAGCTGAGAGGAGCATTCAGCTTACCTGCACGAGCGTCTTCGCATGGCTTCTGCTGTCTACCGTGCCCGCCTCTATGCATCTGTGGCTGCTTCTTTGTAATCAGAATTTAGATCGTATGAGCTTTTTTTTTTTTTTTTCAGAAGTGCTATAAAATTAAGTTTTGCAAGCATTCTGTTATTTTTAGTTGGGAAGATGATAATCAGATGTTTAGAGAATATAATATTGAAAGAAATGTTCATTTGGTGCAGAATTGCCAGTGTACAATCTTAAATGTCCTAGTGTTGTGTAGCAGGTAGAGCTGCCTCCTGTGATGCCAGCGTCCCATATGGGTGCCAGTTTGTGTCCCACCTTGTTCTACTTCCAATCCAGGTCTCTGCTAATGACCTGGGAAAAGCAGTGGAAGATGGCCCAAGTGTTTGGGCCCCTGGTACCTACCTGGGAGACCCAGATGATGCACCTGGCTCCTGGCTCTGGCCTGACCTAGCCCTGCTTGTGGCCATCTGGGGAGTGAACCGGTGGATGGAAGATCTCTCTCTGTCTTTCCCTCTTTCTCTCTATAACTCTGACAAATAAACAAGTAAATAGTCAAAGATTCCTAATCTGGTGGGAAAATTCAGATAAGATATATGCCCATTTAATGTTTTTGTTCTTATTAGAAAGAGAGACAGAGATGCAAAGAGATCTCCAATTTGCTGGTTCACTCTCCAAATGCATATTATACTAGGGACAGGGCCAGGTGGAAGCTGAGAGCTGGGAATTCAATCTGAGTCTCCTGTGTGGGTGGCAGGAGCTCAAATCCTTGAGCTAACACCTGCTGCTGCCCATGGTGCGCACAAGCACGTAGCTGGAATCAAGAGCCAGAGCCAGGTATTGAACCCAGGCACCCCAATGGGATGCGGGCATTCTAACCAGTGATTTAACCTCTCAGCCAAATGTCCCCCCACCAGATTATATACTTTAAAAATGTTTTTACTCATTTATTTTATTTGAATGAAAGAACAGAGATCTTCCATCTGCTGGTTTATTCCTCAAAAGCATGTAATAGTTTGGACGGGACAAGGCAAATCTAGGAGCCTACAGCTCAACCTGGTCTCCCATGTGGGTGGCAGGAACTCATGTGATTGAGCCGTCACTTCCTGCCTCCCATGGTGCACATTCCCAGGAAACTGGAATCAAGAGTGAAGCTAGGATTGAAACCAGGCACTCCTACATGGGTTTTGGGTGTTGCAAGCAGTGTCTTCACTGCTACATCAGACATCTAATCTGTGGCCCCATTTAGAGCACAAAAATATTAATATGTTCTTCTGGTACAGCACGGTCAAAAAAAGGTATTATACTTTGGAGTTTTCCAAAGGAGGTGTTACACTATTTGGGGCAAAACCAGCAAGTTGAAAATAAAATTATGGCCGTAGAAATTTATGTGTTATAAAGTCAAGGCCATGTATGCCAGTTGGGCTTTTCACGCATTAACTCCTCTGACCTCTGTAGAGACGCATGGCAGGTTTGTTCCCAGTGACTCACTGCCCATCTTCAAAGTTTCAGTAAAATGGTAATGTATAGAAATCCAGCCTCAGGGCCTTCTTGAACTCGGAGATGTTCCCGTCCTAACTGTCCCCCACCCTTCTAGTTCCTGCAGGTGGAAGGAGGGAGCCGCAGCACTCTGGGATAGAAAACTAACATCTTCTTTGTCTTGCAGGTTGTCCTTCTACTCGGGCCACTCTTCCTTCTCCATGTACTGCATGCTGTTCGTGGCAGTAAGTACTTCCGCCTGTTGATTGGGCTGCGGGGGATGTATGGATCCGCCTCCGTGTTCTGCGGGTGGCGGAAGCCCTTCGGCGGCCGGTCAGCTCGTCTCGGGCTAAGAGTTAGTGGACTTGGCCCCTGCTTTGGGACATTGTCGGGCACACACACACAAAGCTGTGTGATCACAGCAGGTCCCTGGCGTGCAGGACCCGGGCAAGATGGCTGCTGTGGCTGGGTGCCCTCGCCGCGCCCCGTGGGTGCATGTGGCGCCTGGAAGCCCGGCTGCCTTCCTCCTAGCGCTGCCGTGCCGGGCTGCGGAGTGAAGGCAGCTGTGCCGCATTGGAGCTGGTTTTGTTGCCGGTTCACTTCCAAACATTCGCAGACTGCGTTGTGTGAGACCGGGCAGGTTTTCACTCCTGGAGAGCAGCCGCTGCCTCAGGGGCTTGTCATGCCTGTACCTTCCGGCTCCAGTTCCGCTGCTGGGCTGTGGCTAGCCTGGCCTGTGGCGTAGCCTGGCCTGTGGCGTCTGCCTTTCCCCAAGGTGGTTGTGAGGAGTTAGGGAAGATTCCTGCGCAGGCTGTGTGCCGCAGACTGGGGACAAGTCTGGAGTTGTTTGAGGGGCTCTGCTAGGGGACTGGGCTGTGGGGTACTTGCAAGGGATCTTTAAAGGCCAAGTTTGGTCAGTTTTCAAAACAATGTTTACTGTATTCGCATGTAAAATACTGATTATGAAATTCTCATCCTCTGTCTGCACATAATTGGCATTTGGGGGGAACAGAGAGAGAGGAAGATCTCTACCCTAATAGGTCAGCTGTAATGTTTGTGTCTTAATTTTCTTTATGAGAGGATTTTTATAGAGCTGTGTTCTGTGTAAATTGGTGGTTTCTCATTTTCCTTTGATCACTTTAAGCATTATGTGAATATTTAATGCTTAGTTTATCAGTGATGGGATTTAATTTTGTTTCAGAGAAAATGTAATAATTTCACAAGAATCTTGGTTTTATTTGAAAAACTAAATTCTGAAAGTTAAAAGAATGTAGACATTGTAGATGTATTCTATAAAATTCAAATCCACAACTACAGACCATTACAGCAGATCTAACTTTTTGGCATCACCAACATTTTTGGAAATTGCAAAGCTTTCATCTTAGGTTAACAGGGTACAGATTGAGCAGGATTTCAGAGTTCCTGTCTAAGAGGTACACCGCACGTGTCTGCAGGTGTGCTGTGGGGATGGGACCTATCTGAAGGTAGTTAACAGCAAGGCCTGTTCTTTAACATCCTCTGGTCATTTCTCTTACTACAAACAGCTAGCACAGGGAGACTCTGTGTGTGTGTGTTTGTATTTCCTTTGCCTTTTAAATTAGGACATAAGGACCAGGGGAGAAAGGGAAGGTTGGGCAATGGCTGGAGTCCATCTGGGTCTCCCTTATGGGTGGCAGGGGCTCAAATACTCAGAGCCATCTTCTGCTGCTTTCCCGGGCATATTAACATTAACAGGGAGCTGGGTCGGAAGTGGAGCCTCCGGGACACGACCGGTGCTCCCGGGGTGCTGGTGCTGCTCAACCTGCTGCCCCAAAATGCTGACCCCTGCAGTCCCGAATACTCCAGAACCTTTCCCGAAGCAGACTTTGTGACTGCGCTGAGTGGTTTTTCCTTTTTTAAAAGAATTTATTTTCATTTTTAAAAGATTTATTTATTTATTTGAAAGGCAGAGTTACGGAGAAAGAGGGAGAGAGAGAGAGTGGGTGAGAGCGCTTCCAGATGGCCTCAATGACCAGGTCTGGGCCAGGCTGACGCCAGGAACCGGGAACTCCCATCTGGGTCTCCACGTGGCTGGCAGGGGCCCAGCAGTTGCTCATCTGATGTTTCTCCAGGTGCATTAGCAGAGAGCGGGATTGGAAGTGGAACAGCTGGGACACAGACTGGTGCTTACATGAGATACCTGCATTGCAGGTGGCAACGGAACCCACTGTGCCACAACACCGTCCCCTTTTCATTTTTATTGAACAGGCAGAGAGAGAGAGAGAGAGACAGATTGACCAACAGACTGACAGATGGAGAGAGATCTTCTGTCTGCTGGTTCGTTCCCCAAATGCATACAACAGCCAGGGCTGGACCAGGCTGACTTTGAGTCTGGAACTCATCTGGGTTCCCCATATGGGTGGCAGGGACCCATGTACGTGAGCCATCCATCACCTGCTGCCTCTCGGGGTACAATTACCAGGAAGCTGGCTTGAAAGCAAAGTAGCCAGGACTGGAAGCGGGCACTCTTACACGGGACGTGGTGTCGCCCAAGTGTGACAACCACTGCAGCAAACACCCACCCGAAATGGCTTTTGAGTGCGTAGACACGCCTAGCTGGTCCTGAAGCCAGGCTCTGTGCGAGGCCGAGGAGTCGGAGTTTGGCTTGCTGTTGATGGTGATGACTTGCATTTCCTGCTACTTCCTTTGACTCTAGTTCCCATGAAGTGAGAGATGAAGGGTGGTTGCTGTGTTTTACGGATGAGGGGGTCGTCGTGGGAGGGTGCTGGTGAGGTCTGTGAGCGCTCCAGGGGTCTCTTGACCATCAGGTTCCTTTGCTCTATTGTTCAGTGGCTTAATCCGAATCCTCGTCCAGCTACTTTGAAGGTCAGTTTTTGCAGATTTCTGGAAGTAAAATAGTGACTGACATATAACCGACCCACTGTTTTTAATTTCCAAAGAAAATTCTCAGCTGCATTTCAGATCTCAGCATTTTCTCCTCTCCCCTCCCTTGTCCCTTCTCAGAAACATCTGTATACTCGGTCGAGTAGAGACTTGCAGTGAGGGCTCTTGTGTGAAATCGGAAGCTGGTGTAAAGCAGAGGTCCTGTGCAGACGGCCTCAGGCAGAAGGGCGTATGGGGGACGTACGCATGGGGAAGTTACCTCGACTGTAATTTGGTTGTTGGGTCAGTTTGAGCCATTTAAAGTTATAATGAAAAAGACAAGTTCAGGTGCACAGGTTTGTCCTAGATCAAGGCCTTTCTGGCGAAGGGAGCAGGCCAGGGCTGCCGCTGGCTGCGTTTCACCAACTCTAGGCAGTGGAGTGATTGACACGATGCGGATGTAGGCCCCAGCTTTGATTCCAGCCTTGGATACACAGCTGTCTCCTTGCTTTCCAGCTGTCATGTTTATATCCAATATTTAACCTCCCTCTCTCCCCACCCCAGATTCCTTAGGCAGTGACTCATCTTGTTTCCCTGGGCATCTCCACATCAGGGGTCCGTCCCAGATTTGGGTGGAGATGGATTAACAGAGTCATTTCAGTCCTCTGAGGATAGGCACTGATGGACACAACCTCCCGGTCAGCAGTTTCTAACACCCAGAAATTCACTGCTAGCTGAAAAGGTCTCTTCAGGAGAAGACCTTGACCGTCGTGGTTGTCTGGCAGGCAGCCCAGCCGGCACCCGCACAGTGCCAGGAGTCTTCCTCCGTGAAAACCACCCAGCTGGGCCGGAGCTCGGGGCAGGGCAGCTTAGTGCATGGCCAGTTTGTGGGCTTAGTGCCTCCCCTGAATGTGGCTGAATACCAAAGATTCCACATGCCTGGGACTGTTCAGAAGAGGCATGGCGTGCAGCCCCGTTAGGAGAAATGTCCCGAGAGTTTCCCTGGGTTTGTCCATATGGAGTCTGAGACCCCTGATTGCTTTTCTCTCCGCCTTATCTGTGCTTCAGCCACACACTCTGCCCTGCCCGAAGTGTCTTCATATGGGCCTTGCCACCTTCTGTGTCCAGACGGTGCTGCCGGCAACCTCCACCTGACTCAGACGGTCACGGCATCTGCTTTTCTCAAGATTCGTACTGTCCCTCACTTGGCTTTGGCCGTTTACCTCCTAGTGTTCCTATTTCGTGAAGATGTTTCCTGAGCCGTGGGTTCATGCTGAGCGTGGCCAAATGATGAGCAGCTCATAGACCACATGGATCCTGCCTAATTTTAAAGTAGGATGAAGATCTAAGTTTAGGAACTCCGTAAATCCTAAAGATAGTGAAATTGAAGCCCAGGGAGACAAAACTGAGGCCTGTCCCCAGTGTTCTCCTGGCCAGATCTGTCATCACACGGAGGTGACACTGTCAGTGTGGTTGCCAGGCTCGCTCTTAGAAGCCTGCTTCAGAATAAGCAAAACAAGGGCTGTTGCTCTGTGTTGAGCCTCATTCTAGGGATTGGCAAAAATTTTCAGTGAAAATTCCCATAATAAGTATTTAGGCTTTGAACGCCACATAGTCGTCTGAAAAAAATAAGACTTGAAAATATGAAAGCCATTCTTAGCTTGCAAGCTGACCTCCTGACTTAAGTTTAAAATGGAAATGAACAATTTCTTATTTTAAGAATGGAGTATTTAGGGACTGTGAGACAATAACATTTGCAGTTAGGAAGTGTCCAAGGCCAGCAAAGGAGAGGCAAAATAAAAATAAGCCAGCTTCAAAAATATCTTGATCTATATGAGAGATGTTACCTGCCGTGGGGAGGGCTGCTAAACCAACCACCAGAGGTGGGGTGGCTGATAAACAATAGAAACCTGCTCAGCACACTTCTGGGGCCCCCGGTCAGGTTCTGGGGAAGGCGCACCTGCCAGTGGCAGACTGCGAACTTCTTACTGTGTCCTCACTTGGTGCAGGAGCGGGGAGCTCTCACATGGGCACTAATCCCCCCATGAAGACAGTCTGCATGAGCTAATTGTCCCAAAGTCCCTACCTCCCTAATACTATCATTTTGGAGGTTAGGATTACAACATAGAAATTTTGGGGGACATGTGTAGTCTATAGCCTGCAGTGATGGTGACACAGAAACCCTGAGTGGTGTCCCAGTTGTTGAGTTGCTTGATTCTTGGCACTCTTGGGGGAAATTCTCAGCAGTCTCCGCACAAGTGGAGTGTAGGATTGTGCATGCACTGGGATCAGGCGTTTGCTGCCTGCAGGGGGAGGCGGGTCTCCTGTCCGCCTCCGCCCTGGATGTCAATGTCTGCTTGGTCTGAGCAAATCCACTGCTGCC